TGCTAGGAGGAGACTCTATGGTGGAGGAACTGGACTTCTGGTTGGCAGAGGAAAAAGGACGCTGTGCTAGGAGGAGACTCTATGGTGGAGGAACTGGACTTCTGGTTGGCAGAGGAAAAAGGACGCCGTGCTAGGAGGAGATTCTATGGTGGAGGAACTGGACTTCCGGTTGGCAGAGGAAAAAGGACGCCGTGCTAGGAGGAGACTCTATGGTGGAGGAACTGGACTTCCGGTTGGCAGAGGAAAAACGATGCCGTGCTAGGAGGAGACTCTATGGTGGGGAAACTGGACTCTCAGTCGGCTCCAGAATTGAACGGGGGGCTTCCGGTTAGGACCTTTGTGGCTCTTTGAGTGTTTAAGGTTGCCGACCCCTGGTATAGTCCAATCCCCTACTCAAGCTGGAGACCTGTAGCATTTCAGACAAATAGCTGTCCAATCTCTTCTTTAAAACCTCCAGTAACAAAAGCACCCACATATTCTGAAGTCAAGTCTTTCCACTGATTAATTGTTCTAACAGGAAATTTCTCCTTAGTTCCAAGTTGCTTCTCTCCTTGAATAGTTTGCACCCATTCCTTCATGTGCTACCTTCTCGTCCATTGCCTTGTCCACTGTATATATAACTGTATTTTTAGTCAATCAGAATTAAAGGGACTGGAGGTCTTCTAGTCCAACTCCTGTTCAAGCAGGAGACCTTATATCATTTGAGATAGGTGGCTATCCAGTCTTTTCTTTAAAACCTCCAGTAATGAAGCACCACTCTAAAGGCAGAAAGTGAAGAGGAACTAAAGAGTCTCTTGATGCGGGTGAAGAAGGAGAGGGAAGAAGTTGGCTTGAAAGTCAACATTAAGATCATGGCATCTGGCCCTCTCAATTCCTGGCAAATAAATGGGGAAGAAATGGAGGTAGTGACAGATTTTATTTTCCTGGGCTCCAACATCACCGCAGATGGGGATTGCAGCCAAGAAATTAAAAGACGTTTGCTCCTGGGGAAGAAAGCTATGGCAAATCTAGACAGCATCCTAAAAAGCAGAGACATCACCCTGCCAACAAAAGTGTGTGTAGTCAAGGCTGTGGTTTTTTCCAGTTGCAATGGATGGCTGTGAAAGTTGGGCCATAAGGAAGGCTGAGCACCAAAGAATGGAGGCCTTTGAACTCTGATCCTGGAGAAGACTCTTGCGAGTCCCTTGGACTGTGAGATGATCAAACCGGTCAGTCCTAGAGGAGATCAACCTTGACTGCTCTTTAGAAGGCCAGATCCTGAAGAGGAAACTCAAAAACTTTGGCCACCTAATGAGAAGGAAGGACTCCCTGGAGAAGAGCCTCATGTTGGGAATGACTGAGGGCAAAAGAAGAAGGGGATGGCAGAGAATGAGGTAGGGGGGATGGAGTCACCAAAGCTGTGGATGTGCTCTTAAATGGACTCCGCAGGATGGTAGAGGACAGGAAGGCCTGGAGGAACATTGTACATGGGGTCACGATGGGTCGGACACAACTTCACAACTAACCACCACAACAATGAAGCACTCACAACCTCTGAAGCCAAGCTGTTCCACTGGTTAATTGTCCTCACTGTTAGGAAGTGTCTCCTTAATTACAGATTGCTTCTCTCCTTGATTAGTTCCCATCCATTGCTTCTTGTTTCGCTTTGGAGAATAGGTTGACTCCCTCTTCTTTGTGGCAGCCCCTCTCAAATATTGGAACGTAGCTATCATGTCTCCCCTAGTCCTTCTTTTCTCTAAACTAGAATTAAGAAATAGAGAAAGCCGGACGAATGAAACACATCCTGGTTCATTCATCCAGGCCAAAGGTTACATGTGACAGAGGAAGAGGAGAGGGAGCAAATTTCTCTCCTTGTGGTCCAAGACAAATTGTGGAATTATTTACTTCAGTTCACCACATGGCACAACCAACCCCTTCATTACATCACCCAACAAGGTTCAACCAAAATTGATTCAGACAAACATGACTCCATGTGGGGGTCTGCAACCAATAGGATGCATGCCCTTGCCACAGGAACAGGAAGCTCAAGACCAAAGGCCAAGAGAGTATATAAATACCTCTCTCTCTCAAACCTATGTGTTCAGCTGCCCGGGACCTCAAACCCATGTGTTCATGTCCATCAATAGAACCATCTTTCCAACCAGCCTCCATGTTTCCAGTGTCTTTCTCTCCACTTGGAACTGAACCCAGATGGATATTTCTTCCAACGCAAGAAACACTCGGTGATGACCTACGGTTGGGAACAAAGGAATAGAAGACTCTCCCTCGTATCTCTGCCCTATCCTGGGACAGCTCCTAATTTGTGCCCTTGTCTGTGTCTGGCTGATTTAAGTGAGAATAGAATTGAATAGAATAGAATAGAATAGAATAGAACAGAGCAGAACAGAACAGGATATAGAATGGAATATAGAATGGAATATAGAATGGAATATAGAATGGAATGGAATAGAATAGAATAGAATATGGAATAGAATAGAATATAGAATAGAATAGAATATAGAATACAGAATACAGAATATAGAATATAGAATATAGAATATAGAATATAGAATATAGAATATAGAATATAGAATATAGAATATAGAATATAGAATATAGNGCTGGACTAGAAGACCTCCAAGGTCCCTTCCAGCTCTATACTGATTGATGGATGGATTGAAATGATCTAGGGTCTCCTGCTTGAGCAGGGGGCTGGACTAGAAGACCTCCAAGGTCCCTTCCAGCTCTATACTGATTGATGGATGGATAGAAATGGCCTAGGGTCTCCTGCTTGAGCAGGGGGCTGGACTAGAAGACCTCCAAGGCCCCTTCCAGCTCTCTTCTGATTGATGTATGGATTGAAATGGCCTAGGGTCTCCTGCATGAGCAGGGGGTTGGACTAGAAGACCTCCAAGGTCCCTTCCAGCTCTCTTCTGATTGATGGATGGATAGAAATGGCCTAGGGTCTCCTGCTTGAGCAGGGGGTTGGACTGGAAGACCTCCAAAGTCCCCTCCAACTGTGATTCTGTTTCCATCATCCCCCTCCTCCTCCTTCTGCAAAAGACCCCGAGCTCCCCATTCCCTTTCCCCTAATTTTTCATTAACTCCGATTCTCCCCTCCCCCTCCCCATCACATTTCCCATTAACCCCTCATCCTCCCCTGCTGAAATTCTTTTTTCGTAAACTCCAGGAGTGGCTCCCGATCGGTTTGGGATAAATGATTTTCCTCTCGCTGACCACGCTGGGAAGTCTTCACCCTCATCAACAATCATTAACCGGGGCACGAAAAGATTTGGGCTGCAACCGGCTTCATAAACTC